CCTTTAAACTACTCGGCGGCCACGAGAATCATGGGGACTGAGGAAAGAGTTGAATTTGGCTAAGAGAGAGACTTGCTTGAAGGGAATTCGATTTTTCTCAAAAGAATTGAAGAAAGCTCCGGCACTCGGTATGGTAAACAATGGGAGGAAATGATTAGAAATATAAATTGATTTAAAATTTCCTAGCAAAAATTCCTAAATTATGCCCAAAATTGTGCAGATCAAACTTACTGTGCTCTTCCGATAGCATGTCCTGCATGACAACGATGAAGGATTGAAGATGATCAGCGTGTTTCTAAAATACTGTGTACATACTAGACTGCACACTGCGATGATCAGGGCAATCCAGCCAGACAACGAGTAAACAGATAAACATTTACACAAGTAAACATTGACCTCCGTACCCCATTCCTCTCCTAAAGTTCTGATAGGAATAGATACAGTTCTGTTCGTGGATGCCCACGATGGATTTGGTCCAGCACAAAGGAGAGGTATTCTAGAAACGATGCAAACACTTCTCCCATGCCTTTCGTGGTCGCTTTGAAAAAGGCTATTACCTCTCTCAATTAGTGAAATCGTTTGCTGACTATTTCCTTCATTCATTCAAGCAACTCTCAAATTTTTGGTGTCTCTGCGTTTGTGGAAATGTGAAGGAAATACTGGTTTCTCGAGATATTCATCGGTGCTTAGGTGCATTCGCCCAATTCTTGATGGACGCGGCAAATTGCGCGGCGAAAATCGGGGTGATTTGAACGAATCTAGCGCCTAACATTTGAGTACAGGTTTGAAGAAGAGTAAATTAGTAGGGTCAGCCGATCCTACTAATCCACTCCGCATCAAACCTGTGCCCCAATGATAGGCCCAGAGTCGTTCAAATCACCTCGAACTTCACCCGCGCCATTTGCAGCGCAAGCCTCCAATTGGGCGAATGTTCCTTCCCCGTATTGCATCCTTTAGGGGGTATCTGGACGAGCTGTTCGCATGCGCTCGCCATTGCATTCAGCTGGCTGCACTACGCTGCCTGCGTGCAAGGTGTGGGTCTCGGTGCGGATAGTGCATCCTCTATAGCTTTTACAACGCTTAATAACTCGTCCGCCTTGGGTGTGTACATCGGCTAAGCCGGTTTCGGGAGCCCTTATTATGTCATCTCTAGCCGTTATTCGTCCCGACAGCTTTCCTTAGCTTCCTTCGCTGTCACAGGTCCATTCAGGGGAGACCCTCAGAAACCGCTTTTATTGTGAACTATGCCTTCGTTCCTTTAACTCATCCACAAAATGAAATGTGTTCCTCACTCGAGCAGTCATCGACAGAAGACCGTATTTGACTTAGTGGGAGGACAAGTTCATATTCAGTACAGCTGTGACATAAGCTCTTGGTTTGATCCAGACTTTGTCAAAGAGACCACTGGTCGGTGTTCGGCACACTTTTGAGTCTTCTCGGAATAATGTGCTAGGGCATAATGAACCGGTTTAGACCATTCTTTGGCTCAAATGAAAGAAAGTAACTTTCGTAAAACTTACATTATAAAGGTTAACAAAATGGCGTTGTGATATCCGTACAAATTCAGCTTGTCGAGTAACAACTGCCGAACAGCAGTGACGGTCGATGTCGAGTTCACCGAACAGGGAGCCAGCCGATAACGAACACAAAGGCAACGATTCAGATCCCTGAAATGGAGCTGCAGCTAAATAGGTGTCACCTAAGTAGCTCGAGATCGAGCGAAAAGTCAACCTTAGGAAGTTTTCAAACTTTTTGTCACAAAGGTTGAACGAGGTCGGGCAGAACTCAAAAAATCACTACCCCAGAAGAGAAACAAAAAATAGATAAAGGAACATCCCGAAGAAAAAAACTTCTGAATTTCTACTCAGGAATGATAACATTGAGAGTAGAATAGATGAGAACTGAAACCAAACGTTTTCCGGTCAGAGAAATGATTCAAGCGCTCTTGTTGGCTGAGTTGGATACGTGGGAATTCAAAGAAGTCGTCAGGAGGTCAAAACTGCTAGCGTAGTTGTTAAAATTAATGGAACGCCTCGCACATGAATTAAAGACAGTGAAGCTTATTTTTCTACCGTTTGTAACAGCTATTATCAAAAATTCTGATGATATGCGTTTCCAGGAGCGTCACAGGGACGAATGAAGACGTTGCTGACGCCCACTCGAGGAAATGACGATCGACGGGGCGCAGGTGATAAGCGAGGGTTTATCCCACGTCCAATTCTCTTTTAATCTTGGTATGGTTGTGAATACCTTTGGTATGTTTTGATTCAGTTTCCGAAATTGATAACAGCGTTATCATCTGAGGTTTCAGGAAAGGCGCTTTCGGTCATTGCTCTAGCAGTGTGTTGAGCAAGGAAAGTTCCATTCCCGGTAAGGCTTCGAAAGAGGCGATTCTGCCAAAATTTAGGCCACAAAATTCATGTCAATTCTTAGGCTCAACAAAAAAAAACTCAGGATTCAAATGTAATCCGTCTACTTAATAGGTGCTTACAGAACCCGCAGGTCTTCGCTGTCATCTAATAGCAATCATTGGGAAGGCGAGGGCAGTCGAGGCCTTGGTAGTGTAAGGGGTAAGAGCCCGGTGTTCGGATAGCACAAGTTCGGGGTTGAGTCCCGTCCGAGACCATAAGTCGCCAACCCTGTGATAAATCCCAGAATCAGACTAGATAGAGTACAACATAAGTAAAAGAAATGCTCTACTTTGGATTGATCATGTCGTAAACCTCGTTTATAAGCGTGTGAAAAAGTTATTGGCGGACACCTGGAGCGATTTATGGATGAATTATTTTTCACTGCATTTTTTCTTGTTATTAGCAAAAAATGTCATTGAGTAGCGCAAAATTCTTGAAAAAAATTATGCGCTACGTTTTTTTTTTCGAAAAACTTCTTTGGCATATCAGGTATTACTGCTAATATTAAAAGGTGATTTTTTCAGTCATACGGTAACATTATTGATATTTACGCTTATACTTCTCGTGTAATCGCTGTCTCTTAAAGGACCATCAAAGAGGTGTCTACAAGAGGCTCCAAGGTGTTGTCCTAGTAGAGTTTATGAAAAAGTTTTCGGTGTTCAAGTGGTGACGGATAAGGAACGAATCCAATGAGTCAGAGGGAGTAGAAAAGCTGTTAACGACGAGTTATCAGTAATTCATGAGAGCATAAGGAAGTATGGAAGGAGATCGTAAATAAAGAGAAAATGGAGAAAATTAATCACAGTCACTGCGCTGATGGTGGAAATCAAATTTGGCGTTCTATTAGGCGACGCGAAATCAACCAAACACAGTCTATGGACGATTACATATTGCGGAAGTCATACGTGCAGAAATCCAAATGAAAGTTAGAATCACCCACAAATGCCTCTGAAGGTAACGCACGCCAAAGGGGGTCTAGGGGAAGTGGAGTCTTAAGAAGGGAGCGACAGTATCTGGAACCTAAGGCACTAGTCAGGCAAAAGTTAGTTACCCTGGAAAAGGAGTTGAGGAGGTCTAA